GTGTTCACGTGGTTTTCGAGTGAGAATTCTATATATTCATTAAAACCAACCGAACATATCAACTGAAGGTAATCCCAGTGGTGTGTGTATGTATGTATGTACGTAAATTTGTAAATTATAAATATGTTTATATTTGGAATATGGCCATAGATTTGCGTATATGGTTTGATTTCAGCATAAAAAAATGGACTTCCCAGCTGGTTTTTCACACTTGCTCAGGATTTAGCGTGATAGAATTCATTTACAAGTGAAAATGAGAGTCGCATGTTGTTGAAATGGTCTACAAAATCTTGACAATGTAGATCACGTTCCTCACGGACTTCCAAAACATAAACAAGTAAAACGGTGTAGTGGGGTGCAATGCATAATGATTCAAGGGTGGAGTAATGCGAAAGAAGAGGCATTTTTTGGTTGGTTTTGGTTCCCTAGAGAAGCACGCGAAAACGATTTCTCGTTGAACAGAATTTGTGAAGCTTTTGCGATCCTCATCAGGATTGCTAAGCATACGATATGAGGAAAGCTCACCATTGCTCATGGAATAAACGTTGGTTCAAAGGCAAGTGCAACTCTCTGTCTGCTTTCTCTAAAAAGTTGACGATTCGAGTAGCTGAAATATTTGCTTTTCATGATGCACGTCGCTTTAGTGTTTAATTAGTAATTCTTTTGCTTAATTCCTGGTTTATCAACTGCCAAAAAAATGGGAACACTCGGATTCTTCTTATCCTTTTGCCTGATGAGAAAATAATTTGATGGAAATTGGAGAGCTTGCAAGAAAATAATTCCAAAAGTTTGATTATAATTAGGAGATGGTATCCGAAGACATGTGAACATGTTTGAGATTCCAAATCATTTCTGGTCCATGGCATGCATTTATTGGTTTTGATTTGAGTTACAATCAACTTTTGCTGGGAACAGGACCAAGTACCAATATGATGCCTGCATGTCATTGGAACTAATTTGTTATCTCCATAAATTTTCATGCAAGAGTAAGAATTAGTGGGATTTTATTGGAATATTATACTCTTTTTGCATATATGTTGTGCATTGCACAATGTTATATATATCTGCATAATCCAATAGGTGGATTTTGTCATTTAAATATGGGGAGGCTAGCTGCATCATTAATGATATTTCTTTATTAAAGAAACCAACTGCTATCTTAATTTATGACAATTTGAAATGAAGAACTAGTACCCTTATAATTTTGAGGGAGAGTAAAAGATAATTTGAGGAGGACAATGCAAATCCCAAGAAGAAGAAAAAAGGAAATGGGAGATTCATGGACGAGATAGATCATTAAGCTTGGAGACAAGGTGATATGGGTAGAATCTCAAAACTTTAGAACGATGGGATGACATGTTTAATTATAGAATATTCGGAAAAACAAATACCCTCACACAGTACAACAAATGCAAGTTGTCAAAGGAAACATTATTAAATAGAGCAATTTCTCATTATTATCAAAAGATGCATACCACTTATTAGATGCTTTCCCATCATTCAGTTGGAGTCGGAATTTTTGTCTACTTAACCAATTAGAGATTCGGGTTTTGGATGTTTAGGATTTAATGCAAATTGATCCTCAATGCCAAAAACGCCTTGGCTTAATAGTAAAGGAAAACATTTAGATAACGTTTAACACGAGAGAAGTAGGAGCATATGTCTCTTATATACAGCACATTAAAACCATATCTTTCTCCCCCTTTAGTTAATTCCAAATGGGAAGAAAAAGAGTATGCATCGCATTAATCTTCTTATACGAATCTTCAAGATCAAGATTGAACTAAAATCCAAAACATTTAGAATCTGATAAGATTTTGTATGCTCTGTGAACATATTATTGTTGAACCCAAATTGATGGACAAGCATCAATGTTACAACTCCGGGGAATAGCTTTTATGGAAAGGTTCCAATCTTCGTTTAGAAGATTCATCAACTAACAGAAGAGCATTATCATTCATAGAATTTGAGAGATTACTTTTACACAATCAAACAAATATAATTCACGTTGTCGACAAACGTATACAATGAATAATTATTAAGTAGAAATTTGGAGAATAGCTTTTATAAGATCGTTCCAATCTTCATTTAGAAGATACCACCTAATAACAAAATAGCATTATGATTCATAGAATTTGAGGGACTACTTTTACACATGATTCAAGTTCTCGACAAGATTATATATAAAAAAATTTTAAGTTAGACCATTTAATATTGTAAAAGGAGAAATTATTAAGTTAGACTATTCAGGAGTGTAAAAAGAGAAATTATTAGACAGGACATGACAAGATTGTAGAAGAATTGGTCCCAAAAGACTCATCCTACAATGCTGAATTTTAGTCATTGAGAGGCACAACAAACCACCTTTCTTTCTTGAGAGGCTACTTTTCTCTGGCTTACATAGAAAAAGATGGGCTGGTTCTGTGAACACTTCGGCAGTTGAAGGATCATCAGTGTAAGTGAAATGATATTCCTGATAGCCATGTAGCAACGATATCTCCACAGCATAGATTAAGTGGCATTCGACTCTTGAGTAAATAAATCTGACAGCAACGATGTCTCCATAGAATGAAGGTGGTATATTCTTCGTATGACGTTATAAAGTGCCAGCATAACTTCGTCTGAATATTACAAAATTTGTTTGTATCACACACTATGAAATCCAGACGTTAAAGACAGCATGGAGACAATTCCATCAAATCTGCAATGGGATTTTAGAATGAATACTTATGGATTAGATCTCTAGAAATATAGGGTGCACGCATTAGAAACGTGCATTTAGTGCAGTGCAGGATCCCATCCAGGCCTTTTCATGGTCTGCAGATTGCGACGATGGCTCAGCAAATAGCAGCCATGGGCTTTGCACCCGCCGACCAAATGACGTTAAAAGTTTTTTGACTTCTTATACCTAGGTTGCATACCAATTATTATTAAGTTTCACAATTAATTATTATTAGGTTTATTAATAAAAAAGATAAAACCTTAATTAATTTTTTGTATAATTTAAAATTTTATTTAAATATTTAATCAAAAATAATCCATCTACTCAAACTCAAATTGATTACTCAATTATTAATAAATTACATAAGAACTTGAATTCATAGCCGTGGTATGCGGACAACTTATGCCATAACGGGACCAATTAACTTATGCCATTTAGTCAAAGGTGCCATAAACTCCCACATTGCGGAATTAGATTATTAGTGAACGCTATTTATAAGTCCAAGCGACCAGCTTTGGTCACGACCTTACTTGAACAGGATCTGTTCTATAGGATCGTACCTCTGTATCCTTTAGCACAAAGGAGACAGGTTCCCAAGTCTGGTTGATGAACCATGACCTTGTGATCAGAGCGTGATTAACAGCTTTCATGGTTCCCGATGACCAGCTGAAGCAGTAGAGGATCGTTTCCAGCTGGACTCCAGCTGGAATGGTCACAAGGTTGGCTGACAGACTCACAAATTACTTTTTTTCTTTTGGCTGCAGTTTTTCTGTCTTAAGCTTTCCTGGAATTGGATGAATATTGTTGTCAAAGAAAGGTGTTTCTAATTTCCTTTAGCCATCTATACATTTTCCATTTTCAAATAATAATGCTTGGAATTGGGGTTTTGTGTTTTGTTTTTGTAAGCTTTCCCCTGTTTCCATGTATTGTTGAATCTATATTTAAGCGACTAGTTAGTTAAGGTTGATTTATGCACATACTATAGTTTTGGTGATTTGCCAGACATACAGACCACTCATTGAATGCAATCTTCTTTATACACTTTGATTATCGATTATTGATATGTCCATATATCTTCAGTTCCAGAGGCACAATTAGACTCTTTGTTGCTGCCGAATCCCAGAGAGGTACAACAACTTTATACCTTGATGGCAGCAAACGATCTGTTGTGTTTGACAACAGGCAATTTGCTGTTCTCTCTTGTTTATAGCTTTTGCTCTTAGAGACGAACTATATATTCCTTCATTTACTAACCCAAAACCTGTATCATTCATCAAGTAGAGATTATCTCTTTCAAAAGGTGCCAGGAGATATACATGTTGCCTTACAGGCCATTCCAAGAGGAACTGACGAGTGGAAAATATCGATTTAGTTGGAGGTCAATGTGCAACGTCTGTAGTAAGATGGTGTCACCTTCTTAGCACCCTTACCCTCAGCAAAAAGCAACCATGGATTCTGTCATAGTACGTCTTCTAAGTAATAACCATTCACAAAACCAAAAAAACTGATAGGCTGAAGGCCTCAAGTTGCTTAATGCTCTCCCAGTTGGAATGAGAATGCCAAATCCTCAAGGACAAAGAGACTCCAACTGCACACATCTGACCATGAAGCATGCAAATCACATAAATTGGAAGGGTTTGTCTTGATATCCCCCCAAACAAATTGACTATATCGCAGAAGCATGAGAGTAAATTACTGAGCATTAGTAGAATTGATGATGCACAAACCAGTTTAGCACAGTTACTGGACAAGATGTTCTTGAAAACTTTAAATCCATTAGCAGTCCATGGAATATCTCATGGAGCAACTTGCTTGATGACTTCTTCAGCGTTATGCTCTATAAGTCACAGTTACTGGGAGTCTCACTCTTTTAAGATAATTTCACTGCTGTTAACACACTATCAAACTTGAAAGACAGGAAGCTCAGCTCAATTAAATTCTTGGTTCAAGATTAAGTTAGAAAACTAACTATTCCACATTTTGGGGATAGCAAAACACTCATACATGAAAACCACTAACTCCAAGTCCCCTGTTAGGCTATAGCTCTACCCTGATCCCTGGCAATGGAAATTTTCCAGGACCACCAAATGGGTAATGCCCTGCAATTCCTAGTTTTATAAGTTAAAGGAGAATCATTAAAAGATACGAAACTTGGCTGTTCTCATCCAGTCCTATGTGTTTGAATAAACATAACAATTAACAGATCAAACTATCTATCTATCTATGTGTGTGTGTGTGTATATATATATAACATAATATAATATAATGAAATCCTTTGAATCAAAAAACTGATGCTGCTACATTGATATACTAAATCAAAAAGTTCCTTTACTATCACAAACTTTCCATGACTTCAGCTACATAAAACCAGCAAGCTTCATCATCGAATCACATTCGTCCATCACCTCCAAACTATTGAAGTTAAGAACAGAAGAAACTTGTACAAACAGGAGCTACATTAAGCATCCATACTAGGATCCTACGCAAAACCCTCAACCAGAATTGGTTTTTCCTTTCCCGTCTCTTCCTCCTCCTGATTTTCCTTCTTCCTTTTCTCTTTCACTCCAATCTCCAAACCCTTGAGCTCATCATCTATACAACCCCTCCCATCCCCCGCCTCTACACCGTCACCACCCACGACCACCGCATCCCTACCTTCCACCACTTCCCTACCGCCTTCCTTTTCTTTCACGCAGCCTCCCACCGAGTCCGAGGCGGGGTCCGAAGGCTCTCCAACCACCAGCACGTCAGACATGTCCGGACAAGGTAGCGAAGCAAGGAAATCGGAGGAGCACTTGGCGTTGTCGGGAAATAGGTCGTCTAGGCATCCGGGTTCATCCTCATCTTCATCGTCAGAGTGGAAGAAGGCGGCACGTGACTTGACAGCGGAGGCGGCTTTGCGGAAGGCCTCGTGTATGGAATCTGGCGGAAGAGCGCAGTCCTCGAGTCCCGCGTCTTCCAGGCGTGGAGGAAGGACCTTTTCTAGAAACCCTGTTGCTTCACCTCCTCTCGTGGCTTCCATGGAATTTTTGAAAATGTTTCAGAACCTTGATCTCGTGTATTCGAAGAGAAAAAAAGCTTTTGTGATTGGAAGATCGAGCTAGACCGGAAACCTTGTTTCAAGAAGAGAGAGAGAGAGAAAGGTTCGGACATGGGAAAGGAGATATAGGAGCTGTAGCCTATCCTTTAGGTCTGGAGAATTCCGTTTGCAACGCCCAAAATATTATGCATTGGGGGTCCAAACTTCCTGCTTAGTGTTTAGTGGCATGTGTCATGGGATGGCCGTGCGGAGCGCCTCCAGGTGAACACCTGGCAATAACTTAGGACGAGGTTTGAAAGTATTGACTTCATCACCATCTGACAGTAACAAGTAATTGAGCAAGCAACTAGTTGAACGTGCTGGACGATTGCTGCAGATTTCGCTTGTATCAATTGATTTTATTAATCTTTTTCATCAAAAAAGAAGAACATTTTATATCTATCTAAAGTTAATATTGTTTGCTGAATAGTATGAAAGTTAATTATTAAAATTCCTTTTGATTGATATTCTCCTCTTTTTTTTTTGGCATTTTGCAGATATAAAAATTTAGAAAACTGAGTAAAAGACAATCGACAAAAGGTGAAAAAGAGCCTAATTTTCTATTTTTGATACTTTTGCTCTTATCTTTCCCTAAGCCCAGGAATAACAAGTTCTAACCAATTCAAATTTGCTTCGGCTTTGCCTCAGTTCGGAGATTATGCATCAGAAGTGCAATCAGGTTACCCAGGGAAACGATAAAAGTAATACAACAGAAAGAGAGGCTCCATATTTTATTACAACAGAATATCAGTGATCATGACATAGGAACCTTAGTACAGTTACCTTTTAGCAGGAGGACTAATGAACAATCAATTTCTTGTACTAAATGAAAAGAATTCAACAAAAGGAAAGGATCACCTCAACTTTTCTTTTCTAGCCAACTTATGATACAAAAATTCGACCTTATAGGAGTATAATCATCCCTAGTTTATTCATTGTCAGAACCTGCACCATTGACGGATGGATATGAGAAATCCATGGCACCTGTTTTGCACCCTGATCAAAAGAGCCCCATCTGAAAGACTCATTTAACATTCGCACCCTGTAGATCTCTGTGACCGTCCTCCACCAGCAACATCAATCGTTTCAGGAAGGTATCTTTCATAATCAAGAATTGAACACAGACAATTAGCAATTAGTGAAGAATGTGGTTATCCACAGTCTAATTCTATATTCACAAGGCTTTCTACAAACTATTCCATAGAATCACACACACACACACACATATATGGACACTACATTTTACACATTTAAGAACTATTCTACAGACACAAGGCGCAAAGAAAATTTCATGAGGCATTATGCTGGCCATTAAGCAAACTCCTATTTCAGCAGATTAGCTATTAAACTATAAAGTGCTTAATTTGTAATTCAACTCTGACAAGATCAATGATCCATTTGGAAGATACAGAAAGAATCTCATGCGAATCAATCAAAGGTATCCAAGGAGGAATTTCAACAAAAAAAAAAACAGTTTAAAAATGGAATCGAGGAACTCCATTAAAGATCTCACACATAATGGCATGGATAGGTCACCATTCAAAATGAGCCCATGACAATATCTTTACCTGAAGAGCACTCAATTGCAATTGAAGAAGTAAAATCTGGTCCATCATAGAAAGGCCAGATTACATATCCGACTGTTAATTTACTCTCTTTGTCATGTTCTTCTACTTTAATATTTTATTATATTTCTTTGAAGACTGATCCATCAGCATAAACATCAGAACATCATTAATTTATACAGATTTTGCTTGCCAACATCCAAAATCTCTTAGTAAGAGTAAGCAGATAATTACTAAAACAAGGCTCTGTTTAGTTGATGCTTTTGCTACTTGATTTTAGCTTTTGTGTAAAACAATGAATAGATAGCAAAGAGAAAAAAAATAGAAAACTAATAGAAAACAAAAGATAAATAGCGAAAAGCAAAAGCATCAACCAAACAGAGCCTAAACTATTCAGAAACATACAATACTCACATTTCTTCTTCAGGTTCATTCTTGAGAGCATTTTTAGCTATGCACTCAAATGCTGCATCGACATTGAATCCTTCTTTTGCAGAGGTCTCAAAGTATGGTATGTTTCCCTTCGAAGCACACCATGCCTTTGCTTTCTTTTCAGAAACCTAAACCAGAAAGGAATAACCACATTCATACACCACCATAAGTCCATTCACATGCTGATTTGATACTATAAAACATTAGGAAAGCTTTAGGCAAATGGAGGCAAGAAAGGCAAGTCAAGAGGGTGGAAGACATCTTACCACTCGACTGTTGCCACCATCAACATCAACCTTGTTTCCCAACACCACAAATGGAAAGTTTTCAGGGTCAGAAGGACTGGCCTGAACATTCAAAAAATAACTTTAGTCATTCATCCAGTTAAGACATTCTACATGTCATTGAATAGAATATTACCTGAATCAGAAACTCTTCCCGCCAGTTGTTAAGATTATCAAAGGACTTCATAACATTCACATCATACACTAGTACACAACAATCAGCACCACGGTAGAAAGCCACACCTAAACTTTGAAACCTTTCCTGCCCTGCAGTATCCCATATCTATGCGTACAAAGAGAAAAAAGAGTATCAACGCTAAGAAATGTAAATAAAGCTTACTCTCACTACTTCTCATCCGAATTACATATCTTTAGAAAAAATAGGAAAAGGTTGGCTTGGTTTCTACAATTGACTATTGCCACTCAAGGATGGCGACATCAGACTATATTTGCCTATAGAATCTAAAAATCACACTGCATTATCATCATGTGGAACAGCAGAAATCACAAAACAAGGATTAAGTTAAGATAATAGGTAATGATACAAGATTTTGCTCATCATTTTATTTGGCACCTTATCTCACCAAATTGAATATTCAAACTACCAGTTTTCTCATCAAAAGACTCCCTATCATTGTTATTTTTGGTTGTAAACAATATCATGCAAAAATTGCTATGAAAATTTTTAAATTTGGCTCGTGACATCCCTTTGTGACCACATCTTCAGCCTGCATTCAGAACTAAAGACTCATTGAAAATTACATTCCCTAAGAGCAGGGTGTGAACTTCTCACTCTCCAGCAAATTTTCATACCCACAAACTGCTGCTGAATTTCCCAAGAGGATTCATAGCTAAACAAGGCAAATTTTATCACCTTAATGGTTACATATGCAATCACTAACTTGACAGATTAATCAAATCCTGTTGCAAACAGTAACATATAGCTGTAAATTTAAGGAAATAAAAATAAATCTTTTCTTAGAAAATGAACAATTTTTTACCTGCAATGTAAACAATCTATCTTCAAACTGAACCTCTTTTGTCAAAAAATCGGCTCCTATCGTCGCTTTGTACTGATTACTAAACTTACGATTAACATACCTAATTCCAATAAAATTACCAATAATTAGAACACCAGACCCAGCAACGGAATATCCAAAATTCAACAATTAACCAAAAAAAAAGGAAGAAAAGATTAGAATTGAAGTTTCAAAGCTTACTGATTCATTAGAGATGTCTTCCCAACCCTAAAATGAAACAATAGCAATAAAGATCAAATGCATGTTAGCAAAAAAAAAAAAAAAACAGCGAATAGTTTTAATTAAAATAGAAATGAATCAAATTTTCAATTCGGATACCAATAAAAAGGAAGAAAATTAAAATAAGAGAAAACAAACAAAAAAAAAAAGAGAAAGAAGAAGGAGAACCGATTATAAGATTACCCGCTGTCACCGAGAATTATGACCTTTAGAAGCATACGCCGACGAGAAGCCATGGGATCGGATTTGAGAGTTTAAAGATCGTTTGAATAATTGTAGAAAACTGTGGGATTTTGTTTAATTTATTTTGTTTATCTTCGATTTGAGAGAAATTTTGGATGGTTGATTAATTTGATTTGTTTTGCCCAGAAAACGAAGTTGATATAGTTTTCAGCCAACCAAGTTGTCAAATGCACAGCACAAAGAAAGACCGACGGTTGAGAATATTCCAAAAATACCCTGTTTTAGTCGTTGAATTTACATTCGTTATGGCCGTAGCCGTTAGATAATCATTACATTAGACCTTGGATTTTGTGTTACTTTACTTGGACGGTTCCTCTTATATTGTCTAATACCTAAACATGTTTGTGAGATGACCATGTCCGAATCTGACTACCATCAAGGGGGGCCGAGATGTGGGAAATCAGAGATCCAATGCGATACGACAGCCCCCTATTGCAACACCCTGCCTTTGCCTCACCGGCCATTGCAGCCCCAAAGAACAAAGATGAGACCACTGTTTATGAAATTTACAGAATCCTACCCGCCACTGTACTACAAAATGTCAGGATTCGCCTGGCTAGAGCACAGTATAGTGAAACAATGTTGCAATACATTGAAGCTCAGCTACAGAAATTGATACAACAGTTAACTTCTAGCCGTGAACTAGTATTGGTATTAGTACAACAAATATACAGGCAATGGAGGTTTTGACAACTCTGAATAATAATCACATACTACTTGAAATCGATGCATTCTCCGGTGGAATTCACAAAATCCACCCGATCCTCAAAACCCAAGTCTTGACTTCATTACCGCTACCATTCTACTTTAGCTCACTTTTTCGGATAGCAGATGAAAACCAAAAGACCTAGGGAGAGGAGGAATGAATCTCAAACAAATCTCATCTATTCGGCCCATGGACCCATATTTCCTTTCCCCCAAATTCGCAAACAAGGCAACAATTAAATAGCTTGATGGTAAAAGAATAGACTCTTTCCAAACAATTTGCAATAGATTGTCACGAGCTTCCACTAACATCTTTGCTTTCCTTCTCCACTTTCGACGTATCCATCTCTTGGGTAGTATGTTGGCCTTCAGTGCTGGAGCTAGATGGGTTGACACCATACTCACTGGTGTTCCCACTGTATTCACTACTACCAAGCTCTTGGCTTTCAAGTGCCATCTTCCGGAACTTCTTTATGTCTTCCTTATATTGAGTTGCACTGTAATCAGAACTTCCATAAGAACTGAATACTGTGCTGTGCCCAGGTGTGATTCCCTCATTTAGATCATCCAGAGACATATTTCCTTCCAGAGTTCGAACTATCTGCTTGGTAAAGTGACAGCATACAGTTACATGCCAGCATACAGTCCAAGGTCATGCATTGTCAAATTAAAATATCTCGGCCTCAACAAATTTCCATTGATTTGGAACATGCAGATGCTATAAATTAAAAGGACAAAACATTCCAAATGATTAAAATAAATCTAGAGGTTCAATATGTTATAATAATACCTACTATTAAGTTTTTC